CATGCTGGGGGGGGGGGGTTATAAAAGAAAAAAAAAAAACCATGCTCAAGGCAGCTATGTGATGAATGGATGGGTTGTGAAAGGCAAGAAAGGGCCAAGAGTTTAGGGACAAGCCTACTGCCTGAGCTCTATGAGAAAGGTTAGAAAATTAGCATGGAGAAGGAGGGCACTAACTAGATGCAAAATGTGTTTTACAAGTAGAACCATCTTGGTTGACTTTATCTCCAACACACCACAAGAAACAAGGTAAAGAAAAACTTTTGCCAAAATAGACACTTGGTTGAAGTGAGCCTGAGGTTTATTTGAAAAACTCCTCATTCGCTCTTCTGCAGGAGAGTAAGTCAGAAGAGAGGACTACAACCCCATGGACAAAAAAGATCACAACATGAAGTGATAGTTTCTCAACACAGCCTCCAGTGAGGTCCATATGCTTCTGAAGGGAGGGTTTTATCCTCTACTCCATTCCCAAAGAATTCTGGGATCTTTCATTTACAACACATCAAAATAGCAGTTTGGGCATCCTCAAGGGACTCAATTTGTGTTCCCTTTAAAAACCCTTTGAGTGTTGACACAGAAAATTAATCTGATGGGCTTAGATCATGGCTAGGGTAGACTGGATGGGACCAGGTTTCCCAATGAAATTCTCATAGAACAGCCCTTACTCACCTCTAAGAATGAACAGGTGTATTGCTGTGCTGGGAAGGGAAAGAAAGGCAAATCTTTGGCCTTTTTCCTGCCCCTGCATCTCCCCAGGGCATCACTTCTCTTCAAACAGCCTCCTAATAAAGTCTCCCTGGTCACCTCGTGTCCTTGAAGAAAATCTATGAAGATTCCCCCTTGGAAGTCGCAAAACACTATCAACATATTTTCTAAACTGACCTGCCTCTGCCTTGAATTTAACTTGCCCCAATCCCATGTCTGCCCAACAACATGACTGTTTTAATTGCATGATGATGATGATGATGATGGCGCCCTAAAGAGAAATGTATGAAAGAATTTTTCAAGAGCCATCCACTGATTTCAGAGACAAATTTCAACATGTTTTGTTTGGAATAAACCTGTACATGTACGAACTAAAACACTAGTGGCAGTACATTTTGTCTACTCCTCATACTGCCTTACCAGAATGTCCCCACAAATAAGCAATTACATACCCAGACTAAATCAGAGTGAAAGGAGGTTAGCACTGGTCCAGGGCATAAGTTAAATTTATAACTGTGCACATTCACTTATATTTACCCTTCTGAAGTTTTGCCCAAATCAATATGTTATACCCATCTTTTCCAAGAAATAATTCTAGGACTCCCAGAAGCATGATCAGTCATGTTAGATACCGTAGAAAGAAAACCATTCAATGAGCTCACCATTTTCACTAATTACTAAAGTTTCACTAACTGCTATTCTCAGATGCTGTACAATTACAGTCTCTGACATTTCTTGATGCCTCACGTGATGATCCTGAAGAAAGAGGTGCATGATTTCCATGACCTTGAATTTTAAAAAAGGGATGGATCACTGCTTTTGCAATCACGTTCAGCCTACATGCATAATTTTGTTGATACATGATTTGTAGAACTAATACCTTAATTCTGGAATCTGTGGGCATTCAAGATCAATTAACCATCAGAGAGTGAGAAAGCCTGACATAGAAAATAGTTTCCAGTCCAACAAACAAAAGTTAATGATGATGAAGTCTTGAAAACATTCTTCATGTGAAGGATAATCGAACAACTGTAGACAATGAGCATTAGACGCATCGTGGAAACTGTCCATTTCAGTAAATATTTATCTTTGCTGCTTTACTTCTTAGACCATTGTAACATATAGTTTCATTTCCATCAAAAGAGGTACGGTTTCTTTAGCTTTTTAAATCTGTAGTGGGTTTTGCCTACCTTCCAACCTCTTTATTTTCAAAACGCTGAAATGAAGCATAATATACTCGTGTAATGAAGCTTAAGATCATTGTTTTTATGGTTTTTATTTTATTTCAGCTTCATGGGTAAAAGCCAGTCTCAAATTGGGCTTCGGTTTCTAAGTCATCATTCAGAGAATAATAATATAGTTGCTCACCAGAAACCACTGGGAAATACTCCTTTTTTTAAGAAAAGCAAACAAATTAAAAGAACAAGTGAAAGCCCTGCTTAGTCCACAAACTTTCTAGTAATGCACCCCCATTGGCAGTGACCTCCAAACTGTTGGCCTACCCCTTGGAAATATGGGTACAATACCAAGATGCTTGATTTCCTTACTCAGCTCCCCAAGTATACGTTTAAAGCACTGTCAAGATCACATGGAAAAAATAAGAATCTTGTCTGCCCATGCAGTGTTGAATGGGATTTGTCACCCTCTCGATGTGTTGAGCATGGCATCAGGAATGGAGGAACACTCGTTAACAGCCTGTGAAATGCTGATGACACAACCCTGCTTGCTGAAAGCACGGAGTGTGTTGAATGTCAAAGACTGCAGCCCTCAGGATGGATTGCATGTCAACAGAGAAAACATAAATGCTATAACTGGACCAATAAGCAATATCATGATAAACAGAGAAAAGATTAAAGTTGGCAAGGCTTTTCATTTTACTTGGATCCACAATCAATGCTTATGGGAGCAGCAGTCAAGAAATCATGACATAATTGCATTGGGCAAATCTGCTGGGGGGAAAATTCTTTGAAGTGTCAAAGGCTCTGAGGTTTAAAGTGCACCTGACTCTAGCCATGGTATTTTCAAGTACTTTATAAGCATGCAAATACTGAGCATTATAAAAAAAATTAAAGAATAATTGCTGTTTGAAAAAAAAATATTGAATATATCACAGACTGTCAAAAGAATGAACAAATTTATCTTGGGGTGGAAATACAGCCAGAATGCTCCTTAGAAATGAGGGTGGTGTGACTTCATCTCTCCTTTACTGTAGGCCAGAGAGACCCATTCCCAGAGACAGATGTCATGTTTGGCAATGTAGAAGGTCAGTTAAAGAGAGCAAGACCCTTACCAAGATAAGGGATGGGTGCACTAAAGGGCAATGTTCTGCTGAGTTACACACAGGATCCTCATGAGCCAGAACGGGCTTGATGAGCAACACTACATCTAAACCTAAAATGCGCCATGTTAATCAAGTTAAACCTGTAACAGAAAACCAACCAACATTTTGATCTCTGGATTTCACTTTAAACAAGCTACTAACAAATGTGATACGCTCATCACAGCTCCCGACCACGTGTCCTCGTTTACCACTATAATCAGAGAGCACCTACTTCCTGATTCAGAAACGGCTTTGCCCGAGGTCTCATTCAGTCTCAGGGTTGGAAAGAGTTCAGAAATAGTTTCTGATTCTAATTTTTGTTTCAAGGCTTAAAATATACATAACTAGAATTCCGCATGACCTCTTCAAAGAACATCAAAAATTGTGTTTAGAAATTTTCTTCCCAAGTAGAAGTAGATTCTTAAAATTCCCTATTTCTCATTGAGAGTCAATGCTCATCAGACTGATTACAAACAGGATTGGGGGTGAATGGTGAACTACATCTGGGTCCACAAGCATGTTTTGAAAAGAGCCAGAGTTGCATGTGAGGGCTTTGCAGGCCCCAAAGAATCACAGTCTCCTTCCTCACAAGTCACCATGGCTATTTTCATACAAAACTGGATTGCTAAAAACGTTATTGCAAAAACGCATTTTCCCTACAATTCAGTTTCTTTTCAAACCCTGAAGCACACAGTCCTTTTTGTTTAAAGTATTTTGTGATTCTATGGTTCCTCGGAAACTCAAAAACTGCCAAAGTTTGATGCGTAGATCCTTCCAGACCTAAAACTATTAGTCTACCAAATCTTTTTATTAAATCATTTTATTGGTGGCCCATACAACTCTTATCACAATCCATACATACATCAATTGTGTAAAGCACAGTTGTACATTCATTGCCCTCATCATTCTCAAAACATTTTTCTAAACAGTCTGAAACTTCTTAAAAATGCTTTTAACTCTAACTTTGAATATACACTAAAAGGTACTTCCCCCCTTTCCCCCAATTCAGATTAAAACTCCAAAAACCACGCGCACTGCCATTGAGGAGAGTCTTCCTCATAGAAACAAAGTAGGACAGGTGGAACTGCCGCTGTGGGTTCTGACAGTGTCACCCTTCACAGGAGTACAAAGCCTCGTCTTTCTCCCATGAAGTGCCTGCTGGTTTCGAACCGACCTGTGACAGTCTGCCACCAGCAGGAAGTAAAACAGACTGCTCGAGGGGAAATGTCTTGAGTCATAAGTAGAGGACAAAAACCACCTACCTCACTAGGCAACTATTCTTTAAAGACAAAGATGAACTAAGAAAGATAGTATCTGAGCATTATCAGAGATCTGATTCTAAGATGTAAATATTCTAGCTGCTGTGTAACTTGTTGACTCCAATTGTATTCCTAAGTATTTGCTTTCAAAGCCCACATTAGTGATGGTTTGATGTGATGTCTTTTTTCTTTGCATTTGTAGTTCCTTTCAATAAATTATAATCTCATTGGTGATCTATATGCACTGACTACACAAACTCATGCTGAAAATAAATGCTCTACCATACGCCCGGCTTTGACGGGACTTGGTAGGTCCTCTGTTGCTGTTCGTTTTCAACTGCAATCAGAAGACAACCAGATTCTTTTCCAGTGTGATCAGGGTGAGCTTCCCGTCATGATTAATTTATTATTCATCTGGTACTGTCCTATTAAACTCTGTCTTTAGCCTGTGAGCTCCTCTTTGAGCTTCCAACAAAAGCTTTCTTACATGAGGAATTGAGGTGTGGCTAAGTTTTTACCTGGGAGCAAAAGTGATGCAAGCTTTTCTGATGAGAGCTACCTTTAGGTTAGGGCGTGGAGGAACCACATAACAGACCATCTGTGGATTGGGCAGGGGTGAGCAGACGCGCTGCTGAAGGGCTCTGGGGGCATCAGTTCTCAGGACTGAAGGCAGGGAAGAGCAGCTCGCTGGGATTTGTCCTCCTGGGGCAGCAGCGACAATGCACTGGCTCTCCAGCAGAACGACAGGGGCTCTAGCCGTTCTAATGGTAAGTCCTATTTTTCTCTCCTACTTCAAACTTTCTGTTTCCCCTCCTTTGAAAGGCTGCTGTGTTTCCTGTGTCCTGATCCAAAATTCCAAAAGTGTACCATGGAAGAGAATAGTTTTCAATGACTTGGTGAGGTTACCAATTTCCTCTTTTAGTTAGTGGGTTTGTTTGTTGTTATTTTGTCAGTTTCAAAAAGTATATTTCACATCGAAAAATAACACGAAAAGAGATTCATATGAATGCCACCATTTAGTGTCCCTGCAGTTTCGGAAGTAAGCCATCCTACCTTCTGATTATATTTTCTGAAACACCACCTTCATTTCCTTCAAAAAAATGCTTTTATCTACCTTTCCTACACACACTAAAAGGCGTAAAAAAGAACCACTTCTATTGCCCAAGGCTCTCTGTCTATTCAGCATACAGCTAAGAGTTCTACATGCCTGATCTTGATCCTTGACATGTTTTCTTTTTTTAAACAAAGATTGTTGAATTAAAATCAAAGAAATGCTTGACTTCAGAGCCATTGGGGGCATTATCTGCAAAAGAGGATTTATGTGTACTCATTGTGTTAAATATAGCCAGTCTTTGAAACTGTTTTCTAAGATACACATTTTATAAGTCAGTTTCTCAAAAGAGTAGTATATTTCTGTTGATTCGGATGTTTTCATGTTACCGAAAGAGAAGTGCCCCAGACAGCAGAGCACTAGCTTGGATGTTACAGGCCAGTGAGTCTGTCCTTGAAGAGTGTGGCTGCCGCGGCAGTGGTCTGGGTGGGGAATGGAGGGGAATTACAATACTGTCTGTTACATCTAGATTTCAAAATAGTGAAATATGCCACAAATAATGTCAAATTTTTCTAACACTAATATCCACTAGGTAAAGGTATCAATTTACCTAGGTATCAATTTACCTCCTTTGTCTTGGTATCAATTCCTATCATTTCCATACCTAAAAAGGAGCGATGATTGAGGGCCGGACTGACAATCAAAACGTGGGCAGTTTGAACCCAACACCCACTGGCACGGGAGAAAGATGTGGCCATCTGCTTCCCGACAGATGACACCCTTAGAAAATCTGTACAGCAATCCTACTCTAGCCGATGAGGCTGCTGTGAGTTGAAAGCAACGGATTTCCTGATCAAAAAAAAATATCAAACCACTGGACTTCAAGAAATTACAGAGGGTGCGGACGAGGGGGAGGGCGAGTAGAGACCCAAAGCTCATCTGTAGACAATTGACATCCCCTTCCAAAAGGGTCCGAAGGAAGAGACAGGATCAATAATGAGAGTAGAGCTGGGGGAAGGTAGGGGGAGAAAGGAGGAAGCGATCACAATGATGGAGGGGATCACCCCTTCCCCCAGGAGCACAAACTACAGAAAACTGGGTGAAGGGAGACAGCGGTCAATGTAAGACATTAAAAAAATTTTATAAATTATCAAGGGTTTATGAGGGAGGTGAAACCAAAGGCTCAAATCAAAAGAAAATGCTTTGAAAAGGATGATGGCAACATATGGACAAGTGTGCTTGACACAATGGATGGATGGATGGAGTGTGATAAGAGCTGTAAGAGCCCCCAATAAAATGATGAATTTAAAAAGAAAGAAGGAAATGTCAGAGAATAAATATCAAGAAAGAACTTTTCACATTGTAAATGTAGGATAGACAGGCTTCCCTGTGAACTCGTGGGCCTCACAGCTTTCTCTCTTAAGGCAATGTAAAGGCAGAAAATAAGGATCATCACACCCTAGACTCTGTTTCTAGTATGATAATGTAATTAGATATGACTTAGAAAAAGATGCCTATAATTATAATCGAATGAGATATTTTATTATCCAACAACTTCATTGACCCAAGAATGATAGACAAAAGTATGAGGCAGTTCTCTGCCTTCCCACCCACCCAGAGAAACTTTTCTGGGGTAAACTGCAGATCAGGTACCAAGCTAAAGAAGTGAAGGGCTACATGGAACAGTATTGGTAAAGAACCTAGAACTTCCAGAACACTCTCAACTGCCTCTCTTGTTCGAGAGGGATGATGAGCTTCTTTCTGATACTGAGGTTTGGTCTATCCCTCTGCATACTTCCAATATCTAGTGGATATTCAATTGTCTGAAGAATGAATAAATGAATAATTGGATGAGACCTCACTAAACTATAACACCCCTACCCATACAGTGGCTGTATATGGCTCCTCATGGAACAAACTGAAGGATAACACAATGTTCCTCCTCTCAGGAAAATTTCTCTCTCACACACAAATAACATAATTTCATACATAATTACTAAACTGGGTAGTTTAGATCTGTTTTGCCCACTAGGGCAGCCATGAACCACAGATGATCTCCAAGCGCTTAAAATGTGGTTGAGCAGAATGCAGGGACATTGTTTAAGGAGCCCTGGTAGCACTGTGGATTGGGCTGCCAGCTGCAAGGTCAGCAGTTCAAACCCCACAACCAGTGTGTGGGAGCACTTATAGACTGCCTATAAGTCAGAATTGACATGATGGCCATGGATTTGTTGTTTGTTTTAGGGAGGGTTGTTTTCGTTTGTTGGTTTTTTGTAAATATAAACTTTCCCCCAAAAAAGTCAGTCCTGGAAAACCCTATGAAATCCAGTCATACTCTCACACACGTGGGGTAGAACTTCGTGAGTCAGAATCAGCGAAGTGGCAATTGGTTGGTTGCTTGGAAAATATAGAATCCGATTTTGGAAGCTTGAGTATTAAAAAGTCAAAAATCTCATTGAGTATTAAAAAGTCAAAAATCTATATTAAATGCATGCTGAAATGATAGTGGATAAAATGAAATAGACATTGGATTAAATATACACTCAAATTGTATTTTATTTTTCCCCTGACCTTTCTTAATGTGGATGCTGCTGTTAAGTTTTCACATGGCAACCCCATGTGACAGGATAGAACTTCCCCACAAGGCTTTCACCTGTGATCTTTATGGAAGCAGATTGCTGGGCCCTTCTCCCACCAAGCAGCTGGGAGGATTCAAAGCACCAACCTTCCTATTAGCAGCAGTGCAATTAACCATTGCACCACCAGGCCTCCCTCCTAATGTGCACGCTAGAATCTCCGCAGTCAACCCACCTGGCTCTCATCTGTAACTCTCACGATCTATCCTTTGGACAGTGTTGGTCTGCTATTAATGCTTTAAGTAGACATCCTTATCAGACAGGAGGAAAGTAGGCAAAGAAGGCTTGTGCACCAGGGGGAATGGGAGCTGTATTTAAGTGCAAGTGCCAAAAGGCGACTTTCAATTGTGAAAGCCCGTGGGCTGTGGTATGTGCCCAGAAGCACTGAGCATACCGGTTTGGGGGGAATGATAGCTCGGGTTGGAGAGTCTGGGCAGGAGTTTGGAAAGGCAGATGAGAGAGTGAAAAGTACATTCTGTGAAGGTTAACAGAATCCTTTCCAAAGTGGGAACCACCCAGCTTTAAAAGGCTATGGTGATGGGGTGGGGGGTGGGGTGTTAAAAACACTCTTGAGTGAGAATGGACATCTTTTGTTGTTGAAGGGTGGGGAACTTGAAAGTTGAAAAGACAGGTTGGGAGGTTTTGAAATAATTCCACCGGGTTAGGATCATACCAGGGCTGCCTGGAGAGGACGGAGAGAATAACAAAGTCAAGGGCTTCGTCTGTGGTTATACCGCTGACTCACCCCAGGCCTTGATTCCTCCACTGTCAAGGCAGAGCCCCAAACCCCTCCTGGTCTGACTTAAATGGCCACCATGAGAAAAAACGTGACACGGGGTGCAAAGGAAGTGCTTTGAAAAGTACAAAGTACTTTGTAAGACTCTTCGTATTTGTAATATTTTAATAACAATTTGGTTCTTGATAACCTAGCATTTTGGTTCTTGATAACCTAATATTTTGCCTTACCATTTTATAATACCACCAATACCAATTTTCATACGTGAAAAAAGTTATTTTTTATTTGACAGTAAAATGGAAAAACTAAAAGTCAAATGAATGGAATGGTGGGTATTTGGGGCTTTACTCAAAATTTCAATTGTTCAGTCTTCTGGTTAATTATTTTGGCTGGACAGGCTTGGAAAACACCTAATTGTTATAGAGAAGACAAAAATGTAATATTTATCAGTTTCTCATGCTTGTTTAACACGATGCAAAACCAACATTTTGGAAGAAAGAATTGGTGTTTGAAAAATGTTTCCTCTCCATAGGTTAACTCTTTTGGGGGGAACTTTAAAAGTCTTCAAAAATCATTGTATAGTGGTTTATAGTCAACACAATATGAAACACTTGTATCATATAACATTCCTAAAAGGATCTGGACAATAGCTATTTAACTGTGTGTTACTACTTGACTTCAAAATGCACCATTCCCAGAGTAAGCTACAGAAGGGTGGAGCCCAGAGCTACTGACAGTGTCCTTTTGAAGAAGAAGCTGAGGTGGTCGTGAGAAATGGAGAGCACCGTAGGGATGTTTGAAATATGGTAGACTGTCGTCCACAACCTTGGCCTGTACATGACTCAAAAGTTAAAGTTTTAGAAAAAGAACACTAGGTAAAACTGGCCCAATTGTTTTAATGGAAGGAAACTATTGGAGGCATCTTTTTTCTTGATGGAAGAAATAATCCAGTTTCTAATCTATATGAAAATAAATTTCCTCCTGAATCTCGCCAAAAGTTGATCCTTAAATCAAAGGAAACTTGCTGAGGGACGCGGCCTAGCCTTGTCTGAATTGCACAAAGTTCAGGCAAGTTGTAATTGTTCCTACCAATTAGCACTCCCAGTTGCTTAATACCTGAAACCGGTTTTCACCTGGGCTAGAACCCGCAGGCCCCAGAGGTTTGTCATAAGCACCTTAGCCCTTGGCTCTTCCTTTCCAGTTAAAAGGGTCATTCTAGTAGCCTAAGGTGAGCGTTTACTTTGGGAAGATCATCACCAAGAAATGATATAGGCCATTGCTTACTCTCCCTAATTATACTATAAATAGTTGAATCTGTCTAATATGCACATTTTTCTTCCAGGCAGCAGACTGCACACCTGGAGGGGTACAGCTCACATCAGCTAAAACGTGAACAGTGCCCCCTGGGAGTTTTGCAGGGAGCAGCCTACACGTTTGTGGGGTTGAGCTCTGCTTCGTTTCTCTTTCTGATGCTCAAGAAAGAGAATGTTTCTATTTGTTTTGATAACGAATAATAAGAAAAAAGGCATCTCAAATCCAAGTGATTCCCTTTATCATTTTTTAAGCTTGGCGACGGAAATGATGAACATTTATTAAGCACTTTCGTGGGGCTAAGACTCACCCAGGTCTGTTAATCTATTGATGCATGTGATCTCCTCCACAAACCTGTAAAGTGAACTGCATCCCCATTTTACAGATGGGAACACTGAAAGATTAACTAACGGGGAGGACTTGGAGTCACATAGAGAGTACGCAATGTGATGGGATTAAGGGACTCTCAACAGCTAGCCTTTGACCCCATCAGCCCCTCCATGGGAGAAAGATGTAGCCATGTGTTTCCATGAAGATTACAACCTTGGGAACCCTACTGGACAGTTCTACTCTGTTAAAATCAGCTCAAACACATGACTATTGTTTATCTACTATATTTAATAAGACCCTTAATGATACTATTGGACCCGTTTTATACCATGATCCGATCAAATGATTTCATATGACAGAGGATGTTCGCTCTTCCCTTGCTTATGAATAATTTACATTTGTAGGATTCAGGGGGGGGATGAGTGATGTATCCTTCATGATATCTCTTAGTTTTCTATATATGTTGGATTTCTAAATAGTGAATATGAATATCAAATCATTTTATCTCATCTGTGACTTTATTCATATAAGCAGAATTGTTTTCATGAAATATTTAGAATTCCTAGCTAAAGCTATCAATGATTTTTAAAAACCTTATAACCAAAACTTGTAACACTAACCAGGAAACATGATGAAGAAAGAAAAGTACAGGTATTCCCAAGATAAGAAATGATTTTCTATATTTAGTATCTCCATTATTATCAAAATGGATAATTTGGTCAGAAAGTATGTAGATATTTCTTAAATATTCTAAATAACTATATTAGGTAATTAAGTAGCTATTATTGCAGTATTAAAAGTAATTATACCTAAAATATTAGATTTTGAAAATACTGTTCTAAATGCAAATATATGATTATTTTTTTAAATATCTGAAAAGGATTGTCATATTCGGAAGTGTTTCTCCTCAAGGTCAGCCGTTTAAACCCCCCAGCAGCTCTGAGAGGGAAAGTTGAGGCTGTCAACTCCCCCAAAAGCTTTAAATTCTCAGAAATGCACAGGGCAGTTCTGCCCGGTCCCATAGGATCACTAAGAGTGGAAACTGACTGGATGCTACGAGTTTCGGCACACGTTCGAGAAGCACACACATACACAAAATCGAATGTTCACTATGTTCCTTAAAACTCGGGAGCACTTTTGGTAGTAAGGGCTCTTATTCTTTTCCCCTTTTTAACTGAATAAACCCCCAACAACTGCCGACCATGTTCATTAACCACACTTAGGATTTTACCCTTTGTTTGCTTCCCAAGAAAATCGAAACTATGACTGAATGTCTATTAGAAAAAATTCATACTCTCTGAGGCTAGTACAAACATGACTCATATTTTTGGATGACTCCCGTTTTCCTGTAAAGGGGAGGGGGTGTGGTCTGTTCTTCCCCTCCCGTGCAGGTGAGCTGGTCTTGGCGAGCGAGGTTGAAGAGGAGCAAGGCACAGCACATTGCTCACCTGCCATCCTGGATGCTGCTTCCCGAAGAGCAGCAACACCCTCAGCACAGGCGGAGGCTCCCAGGATGGCTCAGGGGTTCTTTTTCATGGCACATCAAACACCTATCCTCTGAACTAAGCCTTTCTGCTGAAAGGTTTAGATCAGGTGGATCCAGACATCCTGAATTTGGCAGTTAGCCCTTTGGCACATGCTGGAACTGTATTGACTACGACTTTTTAAAAGAAACAATGTAATAATTCCACTTGTTTTTTTTTCTCTCAGAAGCAACCCCAATCTTTGGCCAGGTGTAAATCTCATTTGGCCATCACATTGCTTTCTTTCCACCACTAATTCACTTCTATTTATTCATGCCAGCCTTGATTCAAGGTGCATGTCATCCTGCTGCAGGACGCCCTCCAGAGGCAAACCGTGGGTCGCCCAGGACCTAAAAACCAAACTCAGACTAGTTGCTATTGGGTAGATTCCAAACGGCGTAGAACACCGTGGGTCTCAGAGAAGGTCGGCCTCCACCGGTTTCCCGGCTGTGCTCTTTCTGAAGCATTTGCCAGACCTTTCTTCCAACATGCCTCTGGGCAGATTCAAACCACGACCCAGAGACCCTTCCTAGGGCTGGCAACAGGGACAAAGTACTCATTCCATGTCTCTCTTTCTTCTTCCATAAAATAGGAATCATAATAATAAACCCTCCTTCAGATGACTGTGTTAAGTGAGATATCAAATATAATGTGCTATGAACCATATCTGTCACAGAGAAACCACACAACAAACAGTAGCTACTGTTATTATTCTTCTAGATTACATTTCTTCCTATTATCTTTTCCACTAAAATGGAATTCTATAATCGTCGCATCCACTCCGTAGTGCATCAATCAATAGCTGTTAACACCTGCTGAAGAATAGATACTGTGAAGGTTGTAAGAAATAAAATACATAGAAACATTGATCTAGCAAGTTCACAATCCTCTGAGATTAGCAAAGTAATGCACACAATACAATCAGAAATAATAAATCATTATAAGCCTTTGTGGACTAAATTGCATACTACAGAATATGTACTGTCCAAACTCAGAAAGGTAGTGATTAGCCAAAGCAACGTCACGGAGGCTGTTGGACCTTTTATTCTTAACCAAACTCACTGCCATCGAGTGGATTCCAACTGACAGCAACATAATAGGACAGAGTAGAGCTGCCCCTGTGGACTTCCGAGAGGCTAACTCTACCGGGAGTAGAGTGCCTCATCTTTCTCCCTTGAAGTGGCTGGTGGTTTGGAATTGCTGACCTTGAGATTGGCAGCCCACCACGTGTAACCCATTACACCATCAGGGCGCCTTAAATTAATCTTAAAGGACGAGTCACAGTAGGATTGGTGGAGGGAAAACAGGACTGAGTTCCAGAGGGACAACCAGATGACACAGAGGTAGGTCCAGCACATTGTGGGTACAGGGAAGACTTCATTGTCCCCTCATTTAATTTGTTCATAGCAGTATAAAAAATAAGCTCAATATTTAAATTGAGGTCATAATGTAGCGATGAACAGATACACGAGCCACAGCAAACAGTATTTGTGATCATAAAAGCACATCCTCATGCATCTTGATGTTTTATTTCCCAAACTAGACTAGTCCCTTTCCATTCCCTCCACATGGTGCAGCTGGAGAAAACACCTCGCCCCGTAATCACAGTGAGCCAGGACAGGAGTGACAAGGTCACCTTTAGATGCGGTCATTGCCAGGCATCCTTCCTGGTGATGGCTTTCAGTAATTCCCTTTGGCACGTTCTGAAGCTGCCGTACCAGTTATGCTCGGTGTTGTTTTCTGAAGCAGTGACTTGCATAGCTCTGGGGACCTGTTGATAGAACCGCAAGATAAGAAATAGCTGGTTGCTGCAACAGGCTGTTAGGCACAGTCTGGCAGAGTTCAATGGGTTCTTCTTTATATCACTAAAATGTTGTCTGATTAAAATTTTGAAAAAGATCATTTATATTGTCAAAATTTTGTCTCCAAATCAGGGCATTGCCTTTTAATTACTGACTCTGCAAACTTACTTCATTTGCAATAGAATGTATGCAATAATGTTTTGAAATATGAACTGAATATAATAAATGGGGTTATAGGTTTTATGTAATTACTTATTTGAAGAATTTACATTTAATTTGACTTTATTTAAATATCTGCAGGTGGTTGTGCTGGTTCATGGAGAGTTGCGAATACAGGTAAAAGATGAACAAGATCTTTATAATTAAAAGTAGCTTCGGTAAAAATATAAAGTTGTGTTTAGAAAAAAATGCATATTTATATAATGTTTAAGATTCCTTGATAAGTTAATAGTGAACATATGTAAAATAAAATTTCTAACCACTTAATCAGGATAACTTATAAACCAATAATATAGAGATGTTGTTATTATTTTTTAAACCAATCAATATGTTGTCATTAAGCTGATCCTATTTGCCCAGGACAATTATATACTGTGGCATATACAAAGAGAGTACTGTATAATCCAATGATAGTATTTTGAGTCCTATAACTTTGCAAATATTGAAAAGTATTTTGTTTCCTCACTTCGCGATGTTACCTAGAGCAAACTGCACCTAGACAGGTTGTATCCAGTCTTAAAACACAGAGGGTTGCTCAACACATGTGTCCATGGTCAGTGTCCAAGTACAGATGGCCAGCAATGCGCATAATAAAATGGAATTCTTTCCTCTACAAGACCAGAGGAGACGACGCAGAAGAGGAGAGCGCAGTACAACAGGTCAAAAGAAGATATAAACGTGAATGGGTGAAATTTGCCAGGCCCTGCAGAGAAAGAGAAGACAATTCAAAAAGAAACCCAATTGCTGAAGTAAGTCCGATTAGCAGGACCTGTGTGAGATTTTAGACTAAGCATATTAGATGTAAATTGAAGTAACATCGTCATTCTAATGAGTAAAGTACAGGCTGGGGACTCTTCAGAACAAATGATTTGGTACTTTTAACACACACACACACAAGTATAATACGAATATAATGGATAGGAAATGACGGAGGTACCATAGCTCCTAGAGATATAAAGTAGAACCAAGAGATGTATCAACTAATTTCAACATATAAGCCTTATTTGGATCCATATTCCGGGAATCTATTTAAAATAATGAGAAATAGTTGGAGGTAAAGAAAAAAATAGGATAGCCTGTGAATTGATCAGTATTGAAACTGTGTGATGGAATAACTTGGCTTCATTATCCAACTTTTGGTGCTTTTACATAATAATATGTAAAAACCTAAAATTATGAGAAGACAGTTCATTTCGATGTACATTTTGAATATCTCATTTTCAATTCCTCTCCCTTTTTTCTACTTCCCTCTACCTTAACTAAAATGAACAGCGTATTTGGAGAACATGGTGACCATTAAGCGAAGAAGCACTCAGCATCCCACAGGCAGGTCCTCGCCTTTCTCACAGCCCTTTAGCGTCACCACCGTGGCCACAGTCTGAGCAAATCCTCCAGACTCTGCATACACACTGGTTCAGGCTGGGCAGGAAAAGCCATCATTCGACTTGTTTCAAATTCCTAGTACTCTGAGGCAAAAGGATGCCAAGGTCACCCAGTGTCAGACAAGTCAGTGAAAAGGAACAGATGCCGGAAGACTCAGGGCTGGAGGAGGTGGGGCAGGAGACAGCTTACATGACATCCGTCATAGCATTTGGGGCTTTTTGTTTGTTTGTTTTTGCTGCAGATTACTTCAGATTTCCAGAAAACCCAGAAAGTTACCTATCAAATTTCTGGGGTAGGAATTGATCAGCCCCCGTTTGGAATTTTTGTTGTTGACAAATACACTGGAAAAATTAACATAACTGCCATAGTTGATCGCGAGGAAACGCCAAGCTTCCTGGTAAGTTTCTGTCTTCAACATTGGACTATCTTCTTTTGGGACTCTGTGGCTTTAGAAGGTGACGCTCCTCTCCTAGTTAATATCAAAGAGACATCAATATTCCAGTGCCCCCCTCTCCCCATGAGTCAATGAGTCAAGCTACCTTCAAAGAACACTAAAAGGTCCTCTGCCAAGAACCGCCACTGTGGCTGGGCACCTAAAGGAGCCCACTGGGATTGGGCCTGAGTGAGCAATGAGCCCAACAGGCAGCTCACCAGGAGCTTCATGCTGATTTGAGGCAACATCGGCATTGGGGGAAGACGACACACCTGGTTGTTCTATCCAAACGAGCATTCTTTCCCATTTGTCTGTCCTTTGGGGAAACATTTTTATTCTTTGATCAGAGGTTCTGACATATCTATATCAGGAGAGCCCCTAATTTGCAAGCTTTCAAACTAAGGAGCCCTGGTGTAGTGGCTGTGCGTTGGGCTGTGATCGACATGGTCATGGTCCACGGGAGAAAGGAAGTTTTCTCCTCCCATCAGTAGTTCCAGTCTCAGAAGCCCACAGGGGGTTCATGATGGGTCAGCACGGACTTGATGGCAGTGAGCTTGGTTTGGGGGTTTGAAGATGAGGTCAAGTAGATGTATAAGATAATAATAGCATTCTTTTAATTTCACCCCCATTTTAGCAGGAGCTCAACAGATCTTATAACAATCCATATTCAGTTAGATCAAGCGTGATTGTACAATCATTGCCGCCATAATGACAGCATTCTCCTTCACCTTCTAGATCACCTGTCGAGCTCTCGATTACTTGGGTCAAGACATCGAGAAACCACTTATATTAACAGTCAAAATTTTAGATGTCAATGATAATGCTCCTGTCTTTTCACAAAGCATTTTCATGGGTGAAATTGAAGAAAATAGTGCTTCAAGTAAGTTTTCTGTGGTATCATTTCCAAGTTATTTTTAAATCCGGGTAACCATCTAATACATCATTTTTTATAAATTAATTTCACCGATGGTTTTAAAGGGGGAAATATCTTTCAATCAATCTGGGAATTTACTTTCTAAAATCTACAGTTGAGCTAGGTAGCTATGCCACTGTATTGCACATCATGGTGCTCTTCTCTGGTCCACAGCATTTTATTTTGTGTGCGTAATTCACAGGAGTATCTAAGTAGCACCAAGTCTATGATGCAAGTGTAAGTAGCCCTCCATGCACAAACTGAACTGTTTACATTATAAGAGACAGAAACAACCTCATAGTACCCTAGATAATTTGACAGATGGGAATAATAATAACAGAAGGAGTTAGTTTCAAACTCAACACAACCAAACCTTAGCTATAACTGGAAGATTTTTAAAGAAAGCAGCAAAGTTCTATATAGTTGAGAGGTGGCAGTAAAAGATATGGCAAGCAAGATGTATGACGTTTTTTATTTGCTGGGGGGGCAGGTCGTGGCTTTGGTTTGAATTGGTTTAGGGTTTTTTATTTTGTATTGTTGTTCAGCATATAGGTATCTTTAAGTCTTAGCAAACAACTATCAATTTGAAATTGTGTTGACTGTTTAATGTGAACCTAGTTTCCATCTTGACATGTTCTCAAATGGACTTCTGTATTCCTAGACTCGCTGGTGATGATATTAAATGCCACAGATGCAGATGAACCAAACCACTTGAACTCTAAAATTGCCTTCAAAATCATCTCTCAGGAACCTGCAGGCCAACCCATGTTCCTCATCAGCAGAAACACTGGGGAAGTCCGTACCTTGACCAATTCTCTTGATCGAGAGGTAAAGGAAGGCCCTGGGGAGCATCCAATAATAGTCTGCCGGTAACAAGAGGAGCTCTGACAACACAGTGGGTTATGCATTGAGCCACTCACCACCGGGTCAGCAGCTGGCACCCACCAGCTGCTCCACCAGAGAAAGAGGAGGCTGTCTACTCCAGCAAAAACCTCAGGTCTCAGAAACCCCAAAGGGCAGTTCTTTCTGCCCAACGGTGTCGCTATGTGTTTCAATGGACTTTAAGGCAGTGAGTTTGGTTTGGGTTTGGAAGGTGAAAAAAAGCAAAGCAAAGTGACCCGATTTTGCCAGGGATGAAAGGAGAATGGACAAAGAGGTTCACAGGAATCGACTGAGTCAATCAAGGGAATCGGTTTGCACTTAAGTATGATTCTAGTGAGCTGGTGGGTCTATCCACACTGTCCATTGTACACTACACAACAAAACGTCCAGCAAGGGTGATGGTGCTGGCAGAAGTTAAAATGGGGCGGGAAAGAAAGCATTAGCATACACGGACAAGGATATAACTTCAACGAATTGCTCATCTGATAAAGAAATAGAAATTTTCTTAGATGGAGGGAGAAATTTCTATCTGGAATCAATCTCAGTCTACTCCAATATGACACTTTTCCTCTTCGACGTCTCCTTTTGAATTCACTCTGGCTTCCAGGAGACTATTGTATCCTTTTCCTCCCTCTTCCCCGTTATTATCCTCCTATTGCTACCACCACCACCAATTCAGACTCTATATTACTTCTGTACGAAAGATTTTCAGAAGAGATTAATAGGAATGCTTTATATGTCAATGCCCATCAGATAAACATACCATCATATTCCTCATTTATTTTTTCTCTAACTATATTGTCTTGTCATAAGAAAGCTTACCGAAAAAGGAAACTTATTATGACGCATCTGAACTTCTACCTAATCACCCTAGAGTCCCACAAGACTCCTCCTCGGTGCTTCTGCTTATGGGCGACAGATTGTGCACATAATCCTTCCCGATAATAAACCATGAGACTGAACAGTTTCACCTTTCTGCTAGTTGCTAGTAGAAAGCATGTAACGACCACTTGTATTCTTGGGACTAGAAACTAATTCTTTTTCTTTCTCCCCTACCCCACTCATTTAGCAAATGAGCAGTTACTACCTGTTGGTGAGTGGTGCTGACCAAGATGGAGAAGGATTATCAACTCAATGTGAATGCAAGGTCAAGGTGAAAGATGTCAATGATAATTTCCCAGTGCTTAAAGAATCTCAGGTACACCTCCGATACTTCAAAGAATACTTGTTATAAATATATCGATTGTTTTGCAGGAGCCCTAGTGGCACATGAGTTATTCCTTCGGCTGCTAACTAACCACAAGGTCAGCCCCTCCACAGGAGAAAGAAGACGCTTTATACCCTGATAACGTTTTACAGTCTCAGAAACCCACAGGGGTCGCTCTGAGTCCAAATTGACCCAATGGCTGTGAATTATATAGCTTTGAATCCCTGAGTGATGCAAATGGTTAAGTTCTGGACGACTACCCCCAGAGTTAACAAGTCACACCTAGCTAGCGCTGCATCTCAGAAATAAGGCCGAGGGAGTGAACTGTTTCCAAAGGGTTACAATCTTGAAACCCCTACGGGACAGAGATCAAGTCTGCACACAGGTTTACCACGAATCAGCATCTACTTGACGGCAGCTAACAGCAGCAATAAAATAGAGTCTTTGATTCTTTACTTCTTTATTTTCCCAATTCGGTTTTTGCCTAAATCACTGGGTGTTATTTAGGTTCTCTGTATCTTTCTTTACAAAATACAAACCTCTGTGAAAACAAGAAGGCAGGAATCAGAAAGAGAACAAGATATATCTTTATCTATACAGTTGTGTTGTTTTGGGTGAGCGCTTCGGTTCCCATTCATCAATTTCTTCCCCATGTATGAACCTTTTCAGTATTTTCATTTGAGTTGTCTCATTCCCACTATTCTAATTTCCCTGCCTTCTTGTATTCTCATCTTGTTTAATAGTTACTGTCCACCCCCTGGTCTCACAGAAATGCTTCTTTGAAAGGAGCACAGTATTCACAGATGGTATTCTTGAATTTCTGGACAAGATGTATTTTGAGACATGATGAGTACCAGGGTGAATACTATCTATAATAAAATAATCCCTTTAATGAAACTCTAACATGGATTTCTGGATTCTGCTTCCCTCCTCTTTAGTATTCAGCACATATTGAGGAAAATGCATTAAGTTCAGAATTACTTCGACTACAAGTGATAGATTTGGATGAAGAGTTCACAGATAATTGGCTTGCAGAATATTTCTTTACCTCTGGAAATGAAGGGAATTGGTTTGCAATACAAACTGACCCAAGAACGAATGACGGCATCCTGCAGGTGGTGAAGGTAGGACACTGCCTTCACTTGAGTGATTGAAAAAAATCCTACATTGACCAAATCTATCATCTTTCCAAACAAACGTTGTTTATTAACAATAATACCAAATTACTACAAGCAAATTGGAAAAGACACACAGGAGAATTTTAGTTAGAAGTCCCATTACTTCAAGAAATCTCTCAAAAAATTTTAAAACATTAAAAAGTGCCTGGGTTTGAACTTATGGCAGCTCTGATCCCATGGGCCTCTCATAGTGTCCCATAAGCCAAAGCAAACTAACTCCGAACCATTCTCTGGCTTTACCCCACAGGCTTCAGGCACTGAAGCGGGTTGCACAGTGAAAAAAAAGAAATCTCTTTTTGAAGTCTTGATTAACCTGCTTCCAAGTGTTCATACTTCTATAGTAAACACCTGTATACAGATCTTGTAGATATTTAAGAATATTTGTATGTTTATAGATGTGCATGCTTCAAGCACAAGAAAGTAAGACTTTTTTAATCTAATAGGTTATGGAGAGAAAATGCAGAGAACTAGGGCATGCGAAGTTAACAACTCCATTTCAGATTAATTCGCTATAACCATCAGAAAGAAAAACATTCTTTTGTCCCAGGAGGTGGTAAAAGTATGAGCTAAATCTATAGGATGAGGAATAATTGAGAAAAGCTTCCATTTAACATACTTGGCTACAGAGATGCCCTGTTATCACTTCAGGATATTTATCCCTGGATGCGGTATAGACCAGAAGTAGTAACCATTATTGGCAGACAATCCATACTGTAGGACATTGGACTATACAGGGGATTCTTTCTTTAATTCCTCGAGCCGAGTACAGAGACAACGGATTGCATTCCTTTCATGAGAGAAGGTCGGATTCCTGGGTTGCTGAGCGGCTTGTAGGCTGTTCTTTCTTAGTGCAGTTTTCAAAGATAAGGTTGCACACACCCTCACTGGTAAAGGCCTTGTTAGAAAGCCCCAGCAGGGCCCGTTGCTTGCCAATCTGAGGCTTTATTCCTGATCTCAAGGACGGGCTGGTGTTATCCAATCTCCCAAACAAGAAACTTGGGCTTTATCCTTGAATCATAGCATTTCATCACAGTCCATCACAGCTAGTCATCAAATTCGGCCCGAGATGTGGCCCTCGACATCTGATGGTCCTCCACTGCCTTGTGTCCTCGCGCCTGCACATCCTCGTCCTCCTCTACTCGTTTGTTCTGTCCCGGGTCCACCAGCAGGTTTGGGTTTGTTTTTTCCCGAAGAGCAATATTGATCAGTCACCCTTGCCTTTATGAATATCCCTGCTCCCTCATTGGCTACAGAATTACTGATCAAACTTGATTGCCCATTTGAATCACCTGGAACTTTTCCTGGGAAAGAGCCCTGTATGAATTATGGATTCTGTTCCTCGGTGGCAGCGCCCAAGCATGAGGAGAAGGAATCAGGTGATCTCACATGCTGGCGGCTAAGATAAAGTTCACTCTCCTCGGAATCATATGCAAAACCATTCATGCTCCACAGTAAATATTCTCCCTAACACAGGAACGGGCCTGGTGTCACTGTGGACCATTGCAAGAGCCAAGGTCCTCATTCTCTGATGGTGCCAAGGGCTGCCCATGAGAATTTCACTGTGACTCCTTACCCCGCCTATCTGACCATTTCTCCTTCAGACTTGATTTTGTTCCCCAAACTCAAAAGAACATTGAAAGGGAACACGATCACAAATTGACCCAGACTAGATAATGCTCAGCTGCGGCTGCTGACTACTCTAAAAGCGATCACATTACAAGGTTCTGGGTAGAAGGAGAGAAAAATGTAGAACAAAACTGAAAAGCATTAACAAAGGCCAGGCACACTGGTCTCACAGATTCTGATGGAACCCTGGAGACGGTGGACCTGAGATCCTCAAAGCCTGGGATTGAACTCACTTCCATGGCTCATCATTCAGAAAATGACAGCCTATAAGGTGAGCCAAAACTTTAGGAAGGTATATACTCATTAAAACAACAACCCATCAACAGGATATTTGCCCGGGGATACAGCTCCAAAGGCAGGAAGGGCCAGGAAATTAATAAATAAAACAAATACAACTTTAGTACTTCAAGGATGCCAAAAATGCTGTAAATTGAAGAGCACAGAATTCTTCGGGTAGGATAGATGGAAATATGGTTTCAGAAGTATATAGACATACATGGAAGAAATATCAAGAAACAATAGCTTTCCATTTGAATTTTTGGTGTAATAAATCCTTCTATGATTTGGTAGCTTAGAGTTCAAATTCAAATCCAGGTCTCTTGCCTGATTTATTTTTTAGTGATATACAAAAGTAACCAAAATCAGTTCTCCTTAACTCAAAGCCCTCGACAATTTTACAAGTGAATGAGGAAAAATCTATCCTGGGATTCCTCGGACCTTGGTTTGGGTCAGCTGCCTTTGAGAATCAAAACATGTGGTTGTCATCACACAAGACCATTTGCAAGTGGTTCCACAAAGAATTGGTCACCATCCCTTTGTACATGTAAATTTGCCAATCAAGGTTATGAAGAGATCGTGCTTCTGCCAGCTAAAAAAAGTTTTAGATCAAGAACGTACATGTAGCCAAAGATCATAGCTGCCATTTACAGAACTCTATTATAGCTTGATAATTTGAACCTATACAATATTGCCCGAGAAGAAAGACCTGATGACCTACTTCTATAAAGACCACAGGCTAGAAAACTACATAAGTCACACTCCTCAGTAACACATTGGGTTGCTATGAGTTGGAATCAACTCTTAGTTTGTTCAGTCCTCACGACAACCTGATGAGACATATCTGTGGGGTGTGTGTGTGTCTTCCAAAACTAGGAACTTGCGTGTCAGAAAAACTGAATGCCCTGAATCACACTGTTATAAATAGTAGATCAAGGATTCAAATTTATGGACACAATTTTTTTTCCCTGCTGTATCACATAAAGAGGCTAAAATGATATTTTGTTTGTCTGGAAAGAGGTACCTTGTTTTGTATCAGTTACCAAATGGAGGTCTCGTGATTTAAGAATAGTAAATCTGTATCTCAACATTACAGTGATATATATAAAGCTGTCTGATTATAGCTTTAATAAAGGAGCTTTATATATCATTGTAATGTTATAAAAGGATCCACTTTAGCGTCTAGCATGTAGTTGTCTTGCTTGCTTCTGGACTTGATGGCTCATATGTTTGTGACACTCCTATCCTCCTCATTTTATTTTTACTCTAGGCACTAGATTATGAACAAATGCAAAAGGTGCAACTTGGTATCGCTGTCAAAAACAAAGCTGAATTTCACCAATCAATAATCTCTCAATATCGAGCCTTGTCCACCCCGGTCACAATTCAGGTAGTAAACGTGAGAGAAGGACTTATATTCCAACCTTCTTCCAAGACCTTCACTGTGCAGAAAGGCATAAGTAGTAAAAAACTGATCAATTATGTTCTGGGAACGTATCAAGCCATTGATGAAGACACTGGGAAAGCAGCTACATCTGTCAAGTGAGATAATTTTTACATTTTATTATTATATATTATTCTTTAATGTGCTTTTGAGCTATACGCTACATAGATCAAATAACACATAAACTATAATAAACCAGGAATGCAAAGAGAAACAAAGGTTCTCAATCTCTAAATATCTCAAGAATAGAAGTAGTTAAATCATATACCTACTTCTCGCTTAACGACTCTCTTAATAGCTGATATTTTGCAGTAAACACAATAGTAAATAATCTCGTGCTGCCCAACCACTCTGCACCTTAACAGCATATGTCTGGCCTCTAGGTGGGCCATGATTCTCAATAGTTTGGCAGTTACAATGATGAAATTTGACAGTTATGTAATAATGGGGTCCTCCTATAGTTTGTGACCTGATATGGTCATCCTCCATTTGTGTAAAATATTAATTTTAGCAGAACAACCTGGTCTTTGGAACCCAATCATGTCAATAAGTGAGGAACGGGTATATTGTGCTATCAACCAGAAAAACAAAAGTTAAAGTGTGAACTAAGACAAAAATGCTTTAGTCTGTCTAAAGAGAATAAGAAACATTTTCACAGAAACTTCCAATTGAGTGTTAAATGCAAGTGAGCATTTACCAAAAGAACAAGACTCACGTAAATGGAGCAACACATAAAAAGATATGTATGCTCTAATCCTGATGAGTAGTGTGCACAGTAGTTGCTGTATTATAAAGAGCAAGGATACAGTTATTACTATATTTTGTTGAACAAGAAAGAAAATTGGAAACTCAAGATAAGACATACTTAAAGACTATGAAATATTGCTCATCTATGCTAATATACCATTTTCTGCTGTTTTTAATAGAAACATATCTCAATGTCGTATATTAAATCTAAACATATAAAATATAAATGAATCATTTTCAGTATGTAACATCCCATATTTGAAAGGAAAGTGCTAATTTTTTTCTATTACAAAACAGATACCTAATGGGACGTAACAATGGTGGTTGGCTAACGATTGATTCAAAAACTGCTGAAATAAAATTTATCAAAAACATAGATCGAGATTCTACTTTCATAGTTAACAAGACAATCACAGCCGAGATTCTGGCCGTAGATGGTAAGAAACATATTTCAATCCTTTTCAGAGAAGTGTTACTTCTCTGGCATCTTTTTATGAATTATTATGAATAGATACTACCTGAGAAAACATAAACACACAAAAAACCTCACTGCCATCGAGTCAATGCTGACTCATAGTGACCTTCCCCTCCCTCCCCCACCCCCGACAGTTTTGAACCGCTGACCATGCACATGGCAATCCAACACCTGACCACTACACTCCCAGGGCTCTGCATTGTATTTTTTAATTTTTGCCTAATAAATTTCTAGCTTGAGTAATAAGAATCAATTATGATTATTCCAGATACTTTGGCTCAAGTTTAGAAGTGAAGTTCATTCAGGGCAACACACGGTACTACAGGCAGCCATTAAGTGTGTGTCAGTCTCATTTAGAATCAGGGACTACAGAGTCTTGCAAGACTTGACTTTAACCATGTTATACTACCAATGTGACTAAGTGAAGGTAATAGCCAATTTGATCCATTAAAATTCAAATTTGCTTTTTATCAGATGTTGCAATCGGATGGTACGTTCTCACTTCTGAGAGTAACAAATATATTATCTCCTGGGGTGGTGGGGGGGGGACGGAAACACTAACTAGACTACATAAAGGAGAATTCTTTTTTTTTTTCTTTTTACAACTGCTTCTGTGTATTTCTTTAACGCTCAATGTTACCCTTACAGAAAACACGGGTAAGACCTCGACAGGCACCGTCTTTGTGGAAGTACCGGATTTAAATGAAAATTGCCCAACAGTTGTCTCGGAAAAGAGAGTCGTTTGTACTTCGTCACCTTTCATCAGGCTCTCAGCTAAGCCACTGAGCAGGGATAAATATACTGGTCCCTATACTTTCATGCTGCAAGAGCAACCTTTAAAATTGCCAGTTGAATGGAGTATCACATCACTAAATGGTGAGTAATTATACAGTTGCTTTTTATAAAAATTTTTTTAATTGTCAAGTTGCTTCTTTATATTTCCAGAGGGATAAGAGAGCTCCTTTGGAAGCAAAGCCTTTTCCAGGGTGATTCAAACACATTCCTTGCAGTCTGTGATCCTTGCCTGATGAATTTCTTCCCAGTATGAAAGAGAACTGTTTCGTTTTGTTTTGTTTTTCATGTGAAATCAAATTTGAAAACTATTATATCTTTAAGATGCTAATGTCTACCTAAACAGCATTTCACATTATAGAGGCGTCAGGCATCTCCTTTATTACAGAGTGGTTTGGATTTCTATTCTACTCATAAAGACACACGTTTTCCCAGGCTGCGAGACCATAGGCTGCGCTGGACAAACTGGCCGGTCGAAGGCACAGAAGAAGGGGCACTTAGTCTCCTGGCACTCAAGGATCTTGAAAGCCTGATGGACTCAAATCCACAAACTCTTCTAGGAATGGGGAAGAGCTCATTTGTCACTCCTTTTTGTCCCCTCACCCTGATCACTGATAATTTTACATTTCCTGTGTTTTCCAAAAACCCCATAGCAGCAAACATCAGGTTAAATAAGCATGCTCTGGATTTTATAGGAACCCTCTGGCCATGTCTCCAAATCCTTTGCAAATGAACCACACTTTTCCAGGGCACTTTCCTAAATCAATCTTGCTGCTTCTCCTGAACATGCTCTCTGGTGCCCTTTCGTCAACAGCTGTCTGAGTCACCAAAGGGGTCCTGTTCTCAGTGGCCTTCTTCCCTTAGGCTTTATACTCCTGGGATAAGAATCCATCTCCCATTTAATGCAGGTAGCAAATGCTACCTACCTGGGTTTATCTGGCTGCAACAGGGCTTATCAGATGCATGGCCAATGAAGTGGTTGCTACAGAAACAATGGCAAGAATCAGGACCTAGACATACTTTGTTAGGTGGTGAGACTGGATCAGGCAATACTAGATGGACAAGGGGGACAATGCTCAGTATTAAAAGAGCCTGGGGAGGTACACAATGATTCAAACAACACATGTCTGGGCTTACAAGAGCTCATACCACTTGGAAACATCCATCTAGCAATGCAGAATGAGGAGCTCTTGATGCTCGGGGATTAGAGGTCTAGTGGCCATAGTCTAAAGTAGCCCAGCATAATGGGCCCTAGACTTATGGGCTGATGATGGACAGGAAGAGTTGAGGTAGCAGTGGTCAAGGTGGAAAGTTGGTCTTAGTAAATCAGACACAAAAATATGGACGGAGGAGGAAAGCACACACTCAGGGAGCCACCCAAGAATCCTAGGTTGGCCAGACATACAGTGATTCAGCCCCCAAGAGAGGAAAGCAGATATACAAGTGATGCCTGTCTCCCATCATCTTTGTTCAGAAAATCAGGGTAGAATTGGACGGCCTTCATACAAGACCATAATAGGCCCACCTGGATGGAGAGGGGGACAAGGAGACAGGAACAAACAAATTTGCCAAACTGAACCCTTTTTTCTTTAATGCAAATGCAAAGATTATTCAGAATAACAACACATTATTGAGACTATTATTAAAAATGAATCTTTATTTAAACTTGATTAAAAACTGGCCATTTGTATCATTTCAATATTAAAAGCCACAGTTAGGAACCCCAGAGATTTTGCAAGGAATGTTCTCAATAATCGAGAAAAGAGTTACAGTAGTATTGACCTAGAAGGTATCCTTTATAACCATCATAACTTATCTTACTATCAGCCCTATTGGTGACAGTAATCTCTAAGCAGTTCTGCCCACAAAAACAAGTCATATACAGAGTAAAATCTGTCTTGTCCGACAAGTGATTTGTAGGATTGTGTATCCATAGCTACCTCAGCGATGTTGAGTGCCCAGCAGCAGATATCTCCGGGAGTGTACAGAGTCTTCCTCGCCGTTAAGGATGGTCAGAACAGGCTGTGCGAGATCCCGGAGAGCGTGACTGTGGAAGTCTGTCAGTGTGACCACAGGGACGTCTGTGGTACATACGACCCAGGCAAAGACTCTGGGATCACCGGCAGAGAGTGGTCATCGGTGAAGCTGGGACCTGCCGCCATTGGCTTGATATTCTTCGGTCTTCTGCTGTTGCTCTGTGAGTGCACCGCATGTCACTATGTGTATATCAGGGCGTGAGTGATTGTGCAAGAAGGAATTATAAGGGCACAATGGAAAGAAATAGAAAGAAGAGCTAAGAAATGCAGCTACTGCCAAGGTTTCCATGCTTAGCAATTGGTGGTACCTAGTCATTCAGTAGAATGGAAGGCATCAGCGGAAACACAGAGCTGGGGGAGGGCAGGAACACTTGGCTTTGAAATGTTGAATCCTGAGGTGTGCAGTGTATCCTGCAGGTGCATTTGAGACTGTGACCGAGGATGGCAGCTAGAAGGTATATACTGCCCTGTGGCCAGTTCTGAGGAGCACTGGGGTCATAATGGATTGCAAATTAGGCTGCTAACTACAAAGTCAGCAGTTCCAACCCACCAGCCATTCTAAGGGAGAAAGATGAGACTTTCTACTCCCCTAAAGAGTTACAGACTCGGAAATCCGACAGGGCAGTTCTACTCTGCTCTATAGGATCGCTATGAGCCAGAATTGATGATGCCCCTGAGTTCAGATTTCGGGTCCATGAGCAGTTCTACACTGCCCTATAGGATCACTGTACATGAACGTCAATTTAGTGGCCATGAGTTTTGTTTGGGATTCGACATAATTGGTTTCCAGAGTTTAGTATAAAACCCCAAACCACTGCCACTGATTCGATTCTGATTCATAACAAGCCTATAAGAGAAAGTAGAACTGGGCCCCTGGGTTTCTGAGTCTATAACTCCTTAACAGAGCAGAAAGCTTCAGTTTTCTCCTACCAAGTATCTGGTGAGTTTGAACTGCTATGCTAACAGTTAGCAGTCGAATGCTTAACTCACCACATCACCTGGATTCCTACATCACAGACTGTCCTAATTTGCAGAGCAAATAGCAGTCAGTCCTCATAGCACTCACTATGGGACTTTACCTGGATGCACCCATTAAATCCTAACAGCAAACATCCTATGAGGTAGCAACAATCATTGACCTATTTCATTGAAGAATTAACAGAGGCAAAGGAAGATGATACCGTCTGGCCAGTCTCCCCTAGCTAGGGAGCGGCAGAGCCAAAATTCCAGCCGGAGAAGTCTGGCTTCACAGCAGGTGCTTTAAAGACCACACAGGGCGGCCTCCAAGGAGGCAGAGTTCAACCACTGGGGTTCAGCCAGCCTAGGACAGGCTCATGGGAAGGGCACTGAGAAGTGTGGGAAGTGCCTGCTTTCAAGAACGAGTATTTCTCTCAGGGCCTCTGAGCATAAGAAACGGCATTCGTCTTTATTGCTCAAGTGGGGCTGATAAGCACAAAGGGCTGTACTTCCACAGCCGGGAGTCCCTCCCAGGTAAGAGTGGCTCACGGTCATTGAGGAGTGCAGCTATGGGCTGTTAGCTCTAGCCAGGGCTCTAGTTGCTGAGGGTCTTCCGTTCAGTTCAGGAGTCAGAAAACATCTCAAAGCATTTAGGTCTGCATTCCTTCTTCGAATTCATCATAAAATTAAAAATGAGTTTCCAGACCAAAACGGCTGTTGTTGCTGATTAGTTGCTGTTCACTGAGAGATCATTAGGGACTAGATAACCGAAGCATTCTCATGACCACGTAAGAATCTTGGCCATCCAAGGATTCACTTGTGTGATGACCTGGTATCCTCTCCATAACCTCGCTGTCCACAAATGCAATAATTACAGAAATGTATTAGAATAAAGAATGTATTAGGATAAAGATAGAGAAACCAAACAACTACATATATTATTCATTAAACTGGGCCCTCAGGGCACTATCTGGTAAACAGCTGACTAATAACCAAAAGGTGGACAGTTCAAACCCATCGGCCACACAGAGGAAGAAAGATGAGGCTGTCTCCTCAGTCTCCCAACCCTGTATAGGAACACCGTGATTGGAAGTACAGCCAAAATGTTTCTTAGAGGCAACAATGGCGAGACGTTCTCTCACGTACTTTGGCTATTTTGCTGGGGAGGAGACCAGTCCCTGGAAAAGGACAGCAAGCGTGGTGGAGTAGCGAAAAGGAAGAAGCCCTCTGACGGGCTGGATTGACACCGGGGTTGCAGCGATGGGCTCACAGACGGAACGACTGTAAGGATGTTCGCTGCACGGGACGGGCAGCGTGTCATCCTATTGTACATCCATAGGGTTGCACTGAGTCAGAATCTTCAAGAACAACCACACGACTCAAAATCCATTCCCTAACAGTGGGCCTCTGGCCTTACAGTAAGAATTTGCTGTAACTATTAAAGACATGTTTTTGTTCCAATGGTTCGGAAAATTGTCAAGTCAAACCGTTTCCAAGAAATTCAAGCGTGTGCTATTTCGTCTCATTTTGTTTCCAGTGGCTCCCCTGCTGCTCCTGACCTGCAATGGTGGGATGGGCCCAATAGGAGGTGTGGCAGGTGGATTTGTCTCAGTTCCTGATGGCTCAGAAGGAACAATTCAACAGTGGAAAATTGAAGGCGCTCACCCTGAAGACAAAGTGAGTGTCCGGTTTGTAAAGCAGTCGTTTCAGTCCTATAGAAAGTAATTAAATTGTGACAGGAAAAGGGACCATGGGAAATAAAAGTGACAGACTTCTTGATTCTCAGATTAAGAGTCAATGCTGAAATAAATGGATGGAATCTATTAATATTTTCACTGTTAAATTTTTATGTCAATACATTGAAATAGTCACTCTTGCAAGACTTTGAGCTTCTTGTAATCTCACTATTTGAAAAGGGCCACCATTCATCTATGTTGCTCTGAAATCTGATCCACTTTTTAAATATATTTATTTTCTTAACATGGTTTTCAGGAAATCACAAATATCTGTGTGCCACCTGTAACAGTCAATGGATTCGAATTCATGGAAAATTCTGGTAAGTGAATATCAAATGTATTTTTGTAAGAAAGCCTGCATTAAAGAAGTTAGTATTCAAAGGAATTGAAGTGCTTAAAGAATATTTTGCTTGCCTGTGCACATGGCACAAGAGGTCACCACTGAAGCATATTTAAGAATAAATTATTATTTGAAGATATCTATCTTCAAAATGTTAATTTGTCCAATATGTCATCATTTAAGATATCAGGAGTTATTACAGCTTTCCAAATTTAATGAACTAATATATAGCTCTTGGGCAATCAATGATTACTTTTTAATTATGAAAGATTTCACACACACATGATTGTTGAGTTGGCTCTGACTCTTGACAGCCTTACACACAGCAGAGGGAAACGTGTCCGGGTTCAACAGCATGTGCAGCCCTGTATCGGCCAGGGCTCTGTTCCATCTACAAGGTGTTCAGTGCCTAATTTTCATAAGTAGATCTCCAGGTCTGTCTTCTCAGCTTGCCTTTGTCTGGAGATTCAACTAAAACCTGTTCATTATGGGTGACTGGTCAGGTATTGAAACACTGAGAGTAGATCTTCCAGCATCACAGTAACGCAAAAGTCACCACAGTATAATAACATGAAAGATGGCGGTCACACATGTAGGAAAATGAGACAAACATCTCCTCCCCAGCTTGGCCTCTTCTTGGCATTTGGTCATGTTGCAGTTTAAGTCTCCAATGTGAACATGCTCATTCCTATTCTCCTGCTTCCTTCCCCAAAGTCACGTTGTTCTACTTGGTATTCAATTATTAATATTTGGGTCTAACCAGAATTAGACAGAATCCATTATGTTACCACAAAGATGAAATTGCTTACTTCTTTGGTGGTTTCCATGTTTTACTTATATAAACCACAATAGCACAGCTAAGGTGTAAGCCAGAGGTACAATAGGACCTGATGCCTAATTCTAAAATGTTAATTAAGTCTGTACTAACCAATTGGTTTTTAGTGTTTTTAGTCTGCAAAAATCTATATAAATTATCACCAGATGTCTAACCGCTTGGTTTTGTATGCCACCTTGATTCTCAGCTGCTTCTCACATTATAATAGCACGCCATCACAGCAAGGAATATATTCAGGATTCTTTAGAAAACCTCTCTTCACTATGAAAGGGTCACAGAAAGGTCACAGGAAGAGCAGTGTTCACCAACATTTCTTTAGGCATCAAGACACCAAATTAGCACCTGCGATTTTGCATGATTAGATTCGGTGTGATTCCTCTTTGATTTCCATATTCAGTCAGGGACTGCCATGCTCTTTGACCACTTCTTTTTTTCATGAGAACACAGAAGCTATCATTAACAAAGATTAGCTTCCCACGGTTGTTTGCTGACGAGTCTCTTTCTACATTTCTATTTCAGGCTATTATCACCAAAAAGCTATTTCTTTTACACATTTTATCAATTAATATCTTCTCTGACAGTGTTTATGGACTAACATCTCCCCTGTAACTCTCACACAACAGTGGAGTGTCTAGATCACCTCAAGTCACATCATTATATTTTCTGTATTCTATAGTTAGTTTCTCTCACCCATTTACTTTAGCTGATACTCATCAGAGATAGATAGATATTAAATCACAGCATGAGTAGTTATGAAATGTTCTTCCTTGATTTTAGAAGTTCGTACAAATACATATGCAGGAGGGACAGTGGGCAAAGGAGCTTCAGGAATGGAAATGACCACAAACATTGGAGCAGCTACAGGATCTGGAGCCGCGGGGGGATTTGTCACAGGAACAGTGTGTGGAGCCGCTGTGGGCACCTGCTCAGCAGGACACTCTGGGACCATCAGGACAAGGCATTCCACTGGAGCAACCACTAGGGAGCATGCAGAAGGAGCAATAAGCATGAGTTTCTTAGACTCCTACTTTTCTCAGGTAATAGAGTGGGACCTTTATCACACCATTATCTTATTTGCATAAAGATCTCTTTTTAAACTATATTTCAGTGTTTTAACTCATTTTCCTACCACTTGTTAAAGTGTAAGAAAAAGTAAGTTTCATTCTGACAAGGTAATACCCATAATGTTGTTATCATTTTATTGTCCAGCCTCAAGTGGCTGTCAAAGTTGTGTCCTTGAGCAAGAGGAGTAACAGATAGATAGGTACAAAGTAGGAGCACATGATGCGAGACACCATGTTCCACCAACTGGAAAAATGGCTGAGAGTGAAAGCTTGTGTGATTTGGTCAGTAGCATCCTCTTTAAAAATGCAAAACAGAGCAAAGCTTATTTTGTTTTTCCTATGATGTTTGCATATCTGTGCAAATAACTTTTCTGAGAGGGAGTTATACACATTCTTCATATTTCAAAGGTACCGTGTCAAAAAATGTTGAGGAACCACTGAATTAATGACCCCAAAGTTAAGGGACAGGAACTGAGGATCAGAGATAGGAGGAGGGAAGTGTCAGGAAGCTATAAGAGAAAAAGGACAAGAGATGACTGTGGGACCTAGGTGGTTTCCTTTTGTTCGCTGACCAAAGCGTAACAGGAGAGGTGTGCTTGACATGGTTCCCACTTACACTTGAAATGGTTACAGCGCACTTTCAACTCTAGGGAAACTCCCTAGAGTATCCAAGCTGGTGTCAGCGTCTGACCTGGTGTCAGAGCTGAGGAAGGCTGCCAATGTGTTGATGGAGAAGTTTGCTTGGGAAGAGGACTCTAGTTATTCCTAGGTATGGTGCTGTCTAGGAGGGGCCCTCTTCTAGTTAAGAGCTAGCTCAGAGGGTGCACAAGACAATAATTCATACCCACCCTAAAGACAAGCACACACTGGACACTCCCACTTTGTCTAGTGAATAATTTCAGGCATCAAACATATTTTCTATGTCGATCATAGAAAATATGCTGAAGGTCTCAAAGCTCAAAAATGAAAACATAAGCCTAGGCTAGATTCAAGTTGGAATGTCAACCGTCTATGAGGGGGCTTCAGAAAGTTCATGGGGAAAAAAATCCATTGCCTTTTTATTCCATTGAGCCCTGAAAATTTTGAGGCACATATATGTGTATGTATATGTATATATGTATGTGTGTATCTAAATAGACACATCTAAATACATATGTTGTTGTTGTTGTAAATGCCATCGTGTCAGGTCTCACTCAAAGTGACCCTAAGTACAATAGAAGGAAACATCAGCAGGCCCTGGGCCATCCTCACGATGGTTTGTGAGCCTATTGTTGTCAATCCATCTTGTTGAGGATCTTCCTCTTTTTCAGTGCCCTTCGACTTTAGCAAGCATGGTGTAAAGGGACAGCTAACACACACACACATCTACACAGAGAGATAGCTATAAAATTCATGGCCATCAAGTCAAGCTGACTCATGGAGAGCCTATCTCATGGTGGGCAGTCTCGAACTACTCCCTGGAGTTTCCATGCAGCCAGTGTTTACAGGAGCAAAGACCTCATCTCTCCTCCCCACCTGCTCTCTGTGAGTTCAAACTCCTGACCTTGAACTTATCAGTCCAATGTGTAACCCAAAAGAAAACAAAAACAAAACTCACACGCTCTCATCAAGGCCAGTCGGAGTTACAGCAATCGTCTAGGACAGCGTAGAACTGCCCCTGGGGGGTGCCCGAGACTGTAGGTTGTCAGGGAGTAGAAAGTCTCCTCCTGCAGAGGAGCTGGTGGATTCAAACTACTGACCTTCCCGTGAGTACCCCTATCCAAATGGATACCTTTTTATAGCGACATCTTTTTGCTATTGAGTTCAATCCGATGCTTAGGGAGCTTATAGGGCAGGGGAGAATGCCCCACGGCAGCCTCTACAGCCGCGGACTGCCACGTCTTTCTCCCTCCCTCGAAGCAGCTCAGGAGTCCACGGGGGCTCTTTGGGCCCACCATGTTCTCACCCACTCCCCAGATCATCTCTGAATAAGAACGTCTAGAATAGGCGATTCCTTTACTGCTTTGGGATACCTGCTTTGCGCAATTGTGGGGATATCTTGAGTTCTATGAGCCGTAGTGCACTTCAACGCGATCTTTTAAAAGGCAATTTTCTCTGCGTTTTCTCCATTTTTAGAAAGCATTTGCCTGTGCAGAAGTGGACGATGACCAGGAAGCGAATGACTGCTTGCTGATCTATGACAGCGAAGGGATGGAGCCTCCCGGCTCTCCCGTGGGCTCCGTGGGCTGCTGCAGTTTCATTGCCGACGACCTGGATGACAGCTTCCTCGACTCACTGGGCCCCAAGTTCAAAAAGCTTGCAGAGATAAGTCTAGGTATTGATGAGGAAACCAAACAATCTCAGCTGTCCACCAAAGAAAGTGGCTTGGGGATTGACCCCTGTGGCCGTCCTGTAGAATGGGACATGACTGTGAAAGGTGGTCAAGTACTGTCTGCTTCTGGGTCTGTTTTCCAACCAGCCATTTCCATCCCGGACCCTTTGCAACATGGGAACTATGTAATAACTGAGACTTACTCCACTTCGGGTCCCTTCGTGCAGCCTTCCACCGTGGTCTCTGATTCACTTCTCACTCAAAATGTCATTGTGACGGAAAGAGTCATCTGCCCCATTGCCAGTGCGCCCGGCAACCTGCAGGGTCCGACAGAGTTACGAGGGTCAAGGAACATGATCTGCATCGAAGATCCTTGCTCTCGTCTGATAGGACCAAAGTGAACTGGAATAACATGCTGAAAATGTCTGGATCTTTGGAGCAAATGATGCACAGTAGCAAACCAAAGCTCACTGTGCCCTTTGAATTCGGCACTGATTGGCTATTCCATAAACCCGATCGTATTTATAACTTGAAACTTCTAGTTCATACTCCAAAACTGGATATGCGATCACAGTGAATTCTTAAGGTGTTTGTTTTTTGTTTTGCTTTTATTTTTAAATACTTGGAACATATTTCGTATCCAACTTCTGTTTTTGCCATGCTGAAAGACAGGTGGATAACTTTAAAATGACATACTGTGGGTGAGTGGGTTAAACTCTTGGAATCCAGCACCTGCTTCTGACCTGCCATCTTTGCTTACATCATTCAGATGATGTCAGAACCACAAAGCATTTGCTAAAGGACTTGGAGCTGCTGGCAAGAAGGAAAGCCACTGCAGTTGGGTTTTTTCCATCTTCTCGGTGCTGGGAGACCGTACGGTCATCTTTTGTCCAAACTAAGTGCTATGGGCTTATGCATTAAACTGCTATATCTGTATCCCCCACAGCCTGACAAGAAGACAATTTAATAGAAGTGTTGTAGAACATCTGGGAAATTTTAATATAGTGTAAATATTATTTTATGGGTTTTTTTGTAATCACCTTGAATGGATCTAGCCCAAAGAAAATATTGAATTCCTTTTTACATATTTCTCTGAAACCAGTTATATAAATGTTAATAGCCTTCTAAAATAGCTACTTTTAAAAAGAAAACTGTCGGTGAGAAGAGATAAATGACATATGGCGTCGACTGACACTGTATGCCAGTGTCTGCAGACTTTGTGGAAATACCAAGCCTGGCTCCCACCAACCACCCCGGACCTAAGCAAAAGCAGCCTCTGGTTAGAACAACACATGGTGGGATTTGTGAATATGTATTATAAGAAGCATCCCAGGAAAATACTCGGTGACATTATTTTGCAGTCAAAAATGGATATGGAAAGGAGCTTATCACTAACCTCTAGTTGTTGACCTCTTCGTCACCTCTTCTAACGTAAACGATTACCAAGATGAGATTTCACTCGTGAGCTGGCAGCCGGGGCTAGTGAAAATTCAGAAGAGCTTCATTTTCGCATGCGCCCGGGCAGCTACGCAGGGCTGCAGGTTCTTCCTGGTTGCTCCCGCTAGTCATTCACCCTTCGACTCCCGGCGAGCAGCATCTGTCTGCTCACAGTATTGTCTTAGTTGAAGTCATGGCCCAGTGCCACGATCTCTCACTGAGTATAAAACATGGAATTTCCATTTTTCCTTTCCACTTTTTCTCGTAGTTTAAAACGACATGTTTTTCTGAATGAGACATAAAGCCTTTTTTTAAAAGTCAACTTAGAAAGGCTCAGTCCTAGTGCCCCCAAGACTCCCCTAAAGGGATCCAAGTGCAAGGACAGCCCAGTTCTTCCACAGACCAGGAAGGTTGCTGCAGGAAGAAAGTCCAACTTGAGGTGAAAAGAACCAGATTCTAATGGATGAGCCAGCCGAGCTCACCCCAGGAGCACAGCTGGCGCCTCCTGCTTCCCAATAGAAGCTTGATCCGGGGTCAGGAGCAGAGGCCCATGATCTGTTGCGTCTGTTTCTGCACGGGGTTAAGTTCACCACCACAACAACGGCAACCCTCATTCAAGTTGGACAGGAAATCCAGAACCTTCAAAGTATTTTCACGTTGCCTCTCAAGATCCAGCTTATGAGAAAGGGATGCTGCTGCCTTGCCAACGTGCCTGCTGAATCCGGAAAGGTGGTACACCTGGAAGGGAAAAATTGAAAGCAAATACGTTTTAGTAAAAAACACCAATCTCGTCCAGAAGAATCTGAAATTGAATTGACTTGCCATGCAAAATGAAATCCAAAGCAAAAATGTATCCTTTTTTTCTTCACTAGGATTAAAAAATATGTTCATCAGAAAAATCCTGTTCAGCTTTTTCACTTGCTGTATGACAAGTTTTTATTTGACATCATGTAAGTTTGGTCAATATATTGACATTTTAAAATGGAACGTGGTCATAATAAAAGTGTTTGGTGACAAATGTATGCGTGCTTCTTTAACCATACCGCAGAAGCTAACCTACTTTAAAATTCGTAGCTCCTGAGAAATAGATTAGACAGTGACTGCCATAGAGTCAGTAATTTGCTATTTTTTGCCCCTTAGTGGGTACGGTTTCTGGATCCTCACTGGTGGGAAGGAAGTTCGGGGATTTTGTCTGGCATTCGGGATACATGGGCAGTAGTGCTACTGAACTGTTGTTAACTGGATACAGGCAGTTCCCAGGTTACACGTGAGATCTGTTCCCAACTGTGTCTTTAGGGATTTGTAGGTAAGTCATACCAGGTACATATAGCTCCTATTTTGCCTTACTTTAGTACAAGGGTAAAACCCCTCCCATCTTTTCAATGATTTTAAAACTGCACATGCAGCAGATGGAGGTGTTTCTATTGGTGAGAACATACACACATACACACACACACACAAAACAACAACAGCAGCAGCAGCAGCACCTACAACAAAGTCATCTCAATTTAAACTTCCATTCCTATGAAGTACAAGGACCATGGTTTTTTCAGTTTTATATCTCAGAACCTGGCCGATATTGTCCATGTAATTATTTCACCATTGTTAACAAACAGTGAATTTTATGTGAGAACACAGATAATCAAATGATCCTAACACAAGAAGCCAAACATGCCTAATACAGGAATATGGATGTTAGTTCCTCAGAAAGCAGTGCAATTATTTATCTTCTTCCATAACAAAATGAACTACAAAGAACTAAATTATAGTGCAGTAAAGAGCCAGGTAGTCTGGTAGCTATTAAATGGCATAATGATATGGTTGTCCACTCTTACAAGGGTTATTACTAATCCAAAAATGAGTATGTAAACACAAAACATGACATTAACTTCAGTTATTTTTTCTCTTACATCCAACTGACTTATATATGAAGAGGCTTCACAAATTTCATGGAAGAATGAAATTGGAAGATAATAGAGTTTCCGCACAAATTTAGTGACTCCCCCTTCGGATCTGGGAGCCTTGGTGACACGAAGCACTTTGCTTCTAACCAGAAGGTCTGGAGTTCAAACCCAGGAGTTCAAACCCTGGGAGAAAGATGTGGCAGTCTCCTTCTGTAATGATTGACACTTGTGGAAATCCTATGAAGCAGTTCTACTCTGACCTATAGGGTCACTCTGAGTTGGAATCTGATATCAAAGATAATTTCCCAAATTGCTACTCTCTCTTTACACTTTCTTAAGACTCTTACTTTGTCCTGATCCATGCTATTCCGTGACTATTCTTTCAAAAAAGCAAATAAAAAGGCAATCCAACAGCAAGGTACATTCTGCCAAGGTGAAGCACTCCTAGTGTGTGGAACAAAGGCTTTGCCAGGGCCTATAGAACAAAGACTAACTCTCTCTCTCTCTCTCTCTCTCTCTCTCTCTCTCTCTCTCTCTCTCTCACTGGGCCTGTGGAACAAGCTTCCACATGCTAGTGCTACCTCAGCCAACTCTGGCTAGAAAAGGAGGTCTCTTCAATAAAAAGACAAGTCAAGAGATGTTTTTGAACCATATGGTAGATGAGCCTAGCAACCCTGAGTAATGAAACCCTACCAAAGCTGCAGAACCCCAAAAGTACTGTTTGAGGAGCTAATACAAGCTCATTCCACTGATTAATTGATTTTTTTTTAAAACTGCACTTTTTTCCATGAACAAAACGAACCTTGAAAAGTTGGCTTTTGATTTGTTTTCCCAGGTGTGTGTTTTAAATTCATTGCTAAGAGTTCAGGCTTTAGAAGCAAGCTATATGAGTTCAAACACCAATTTCACACTTACTAGCCATCTTGGGGCAAGTTACCTAATCTCTCAGTACCTCTCTGGATTATTATTGAGATAATAATAACTTCTACATCCTGTGGTTCTGTAAAATATATATATATGAGAGTGTATTTGGAACATAGTAAGTGTTCATAAAGATTTGGTTTTTGAAATTATTTTATTATTATATTTTAAACCTTCAAATGAAATCAACTCAAAAAAAATTAAATACTGACACTGCAGACTCTAGCTGTTTTAACTGATCCAAAGTCTTCTTTCTATAAATGGTCAAACTGAGGCTAAGAATTAACGTTTTGATCGATGACAGAGCTAACAATTCACTTGGGTGTCTTGCTGCAGCTCCAAACTGATGCTCTAGTACATCTTCCCCTTTATCTTTTGCCTTGGCCACAAGCCTGTCTTAGCAAGTCTACTCTATATTGGAAATTCCCATGAACACTCAGGCAAATATAGATAAAATAACATATCCAATTGCATTTTGTAAAACTACCTTGATCAAAATTACCAGGTGGCTCCTTTTAAGGGGCTTTTCCATGGAACAGTAATCTAGGCTTCCCAACGGAAGACTTGTATCACCTTGCACATCATTTAAGTGTGCCAGGATACTGTAAATAGTATCTAGCACATTTGTATTCTGCTGGTCAGAGTGGGAGGTTTTATTCCTTAAAACTTCTTATTATAGTATGTCTACCAAGTAAATGAGGATAGCCAGATACTGGGGCAGGCGAGGGAGGGGTGTTGACTTGAATATTAACATAAAAAGAATGAAGCTATCAATCAACCAGTCTCAAAGCCAAACTGATTCTGGATCATAGTTACCCTATAAAACAGAGTAGAACTGCCCCATAGAGCTTACAAAGCTGCAAATCTATACAAAATAGACTGTCCCACCCCACCCCCCAACCCCGACCCCTGCCCCACCACGGCGGAGAATTCTAACCACCAGCCTTACAGCTAGCATCCAAGGGGTTTAACCTCTGTGCCACCAGGGATGCTTATCAACCAACCACCATCCTGGGTTAATATAATGTAATGTTAGGGTATGAAATGTTGGTAGAATAGTGATTCAGTGCAGGAAGACTGGCCAGGCTTTTAGACTGAGTTCCAATTTGACGTATGAGGTCAAATTACCCATCAAGTGA